TTGAAGTGTAAACTTGTTTAATAAACCATATCTTTCATTTTCGATTTTTAATTCACGTAGTCCGGGAACTTTCCGGACAAACTGTGTATATATTTCGCTGATTCGAGACGTGTTTGGCATCGATAGAGCGAACGATAACGAGTTCAATAAACACTCAAAAGATAAGAGGCTCGCACACGGAGAAAAGTAGATCTCACTCGAGCTTATCACTCGAGTGCTCGCGGGAAACTGCGCGGTCTCTTTTCGAGAATCGTTTCCGAGACTTTAGATTTTGTTTTTTTTTTAATAAGACATTTTTCTCCGCGTGTAAAAAAAAACCAATCTAATGCGATATTTAGCGGGAGAGCCACGCGCGCGATGCGACGTATCCGTCGTTTCGAAGATACGGTATCGCGTTTTGTTGCTCTACCGTGGCGTCGCATTATCAATTTCCTCGTCAACCCACTTTCACTTGCGCATTTCGCGATTGCTCGATCGTGCTATATGCGCGCGCATATACACGCACGCACACACACACATACACACACACACACGTTTTTATCACACAATTACCTTCGGAGATTCATTGGATTGTGAGATCATCGAAAAGATGCGCGTGTAAAAGACTCCGTACGACGCGGAATCGCGTGTAAAATTGAACCAGTTATGTAAATATTTTACTTTGTTTTCTCTCGGAAAATTAAGTGCAATCGATTTCGGAAAAGCGTAAGTAAGGAGGAGAGACTGAAAGAAATTCGAAATTATTTTTTATCTCTCTCGCGGTTTTTTGTCGCTAGTTTGTTAAACGCGCGTGGTTTTTTGTCGCTCAAGTTTTGCAGAGCGACGATTCCCAAAAACAGAGGGTCGCTTAACCGATTAACTTTTACTATATATTCATTTGCACAATTGATTTTTGTTACACTCGATTGATTCGACTCTCGCGCGTCATTAGTGCACTGATTACGCGCGTGATTCGCCTTTCCCGTCATCCTTCTCTAATGAAAGTATGTAAATCGCGTGGAAATACGTAACTGTTCAGCGAATATGCATCTTAACGCGACGATTGAATCACGTGGCGAAATGTCGAGTCGCTGTAAAACAATACAATCGCAAATAAAAGCAAGTGTACGCCGCCGTTCGTCGGCTCAATAATCGTTAGAAAACTTTTACCTCGAAGTTTTTTTTTTATTATAAATTTTCGCTTTTAAGTATTACGCTCGACTATCGTTTGACGAAACTTTTTATGACTAAGAACTTCGTAACTAGTTCAGATGTATTTCTGGACGTTGACTAGCGTAGAAAATGAAATTGCACGTGCGGAGAGAAACGTAAAAGTCTCTTCTCTTTCTCTCTTTCTCTCTCTCTCTCTCTCTCTTCCTTTTTCTCAGTGAAGTAATTTAAATTAAATCTACTACTTCAATGAATGCGATACGTGATTACGGAAATTTGCGGCAGAAAAAAACAGAAAATTTGATTACGCCCACAAGAGCCAAGGTAATCACGTGCCGCTATCTGTCCGACTCGGATTCTCGTTAATGCCGCGGAGGCGCGAGATCCTTCAAAAGAGCGAATCGAGCACATGTGCGTAAAATTTTTTTTCGCGAACCTCTCGGTTTGCGTCGACAAAAGAAAAATAATGTGACACTGATGTCGCCGACGTTGCGCATATGTAAAACTCGAATAAAGCAATAAATGCAGTCGTAAAAATAAAATCGCATTGATTAGCCGTTATCGCTATCTCGCGATTTTTAACAGATCACGATAATAAGAAATGTTAAATTAAACAGAACGGAATTCCTTGTTTACTTGATATCTCGACTATATCTCGATTAAATGTTATGTAAAAAACGATAACAGTTTCTTGAGAATTATATAACATTTTATTAGTTGCAAAACTATTTTTTTGATATATTCAAATACTTTTATTTGTTAATTAATTCCTTTCTGTTAATTACTTTCTCGACAAACGTGATAATATCCGAAGGTCATATTTCGCGTAGGCGCGACTGTTGCATTTACCTTATTTTTGGGCGACATCGCGAGATAGGGTGGGCTCTGCCCTCTCTCAAGGCGAATGCACCTTGCTCACGTGCGTGAGCGAGACGAGACTAAACGACTACGACGACGACGACGACGACGACGACGACGACGACGACGACGACGACGACGAGCGAGTTCGAGAGAAGATGCAAACTTGCGCAATATTTGAGCTTCGACACACACAGAAAGATTTTGAGCTGAGATTTGTCACAAAAGAAAGAAAACTAATAAACGCGCGAGCGATACGCGAGCGACAAAACGCGCTGTCCGATCGCGGCTGCTCAACCACCGGTCGACTTAATCGTACGGACCAGAGATGCCAGTTCGTGGACTTAGTAAGCATTCAGCATCAAGTGGAGGGGATACGCACACAGGCGACAACCGTGTCCGTGTGCGCTCGGCGCTTCGGCCAATGGTTGGCCAACCACACGGACACGGCTGTCGCCTGTGTGCGTATCCCCTCCACTTGATGCTGAATGCTTACTAAGTCCACGAACTGGCATCTCTGGTACGGACACGGATGCGCGTAGTATGCCGTCCATCTGATTCCCCACTCTCGGCAAAATCTCGTATCTCGCCGTTCGTTCCCGTCGTCGTCGTCGTCGTCGTCGTAGTTGTCGTCGTTGTCGTCGTCGTCGTCGCATTTTGCTTATATACCCCGTATATATGTACTTGCTTTTCCTATCGTCCCTTGCCCGCCTTCCTCCCGCTCGTCATCATCTATCGACTCCCCCGCTGCACCCCCGCAATCTCAGTCATCATCACTCTCTCGCCTCCGCTCGCACCCTGAGCGCGCGAACCGGCGCGCCGCGTTACTTACTCACGTGCGCGCAAACGCGAACAAAGAGGTTCGTGAACAATTGTCGTCGTCGGTCTCCTCCTTCTCCTCTTCCTCGAGTGCAAAGTTCCGTCTTACGCGCACCGATATAAATTTTTTGAGCGCCCGAGGGATTTGTCACGCGCATACGAAATCCGGCGGAGCAACGACAACGACGACGACGACAATGACGAACGTTTTTCCAAATCTTTATACGCGCGCGATCACGCCGATTATCTGATGGCCATGTGCGAGCGATCGCGATATATATCGTATACATCGAAAGAGATAATCTCTGATGAGAGTTCATTAAAAATAGGAATAATGTAGATATGTAACATATAAACTTATGTTAGAAATGAAAAAAACCTCATCTACTAGAATTTTCCACTGTATAAACATAAGACGCGTGAAAAACGTGGAATTTTTCAATCAATTAGAAAAATTGAGACAGAAAATTTTCCATTGAGAAATAAAGAGAGATAGAGAGAGAGATATATATGTTTTTCAATCTTCTGGACAACAATCTTCCATCAGAGATTTATTTATTATATCGACAAACTCTTCTTTTACACAAAACGCTATTTTTAATGTATCGCCAGTCGTTCCTTCTTCCGTGCCTCTCTCTTAGTTCCGTAACAATTTCCTCTTCCTTATACTAACCGTTTCAAAATTTGTGAGAGAAAAAGAGAGAGAGAGAGAGAGAGAGACAGAACGTCTTTGCACATAAAGTTGCGCTAATAATATTCCGAACAATGAAAGACATTACATTCGGTGCAACTTCGTGTGCAAAGATATTTACGTCACCGACTGTAACATTTTTTATGTGTGCGTATTGCGCGACTCTTGGCTCTCGTTCACCGTATTGTCGAACGTGCCAAATTTTAAAGCTTACTGTGCGAGGCACGCAGATTAGATCGCATCGAATGACGAGGAAACTTGCGATAAGCTTAATGACGTGATAAATAATTTCAAAGGAGTGGCAGACGAACTTTTCTGATTAGGAATGTAAAAAAAAAAAAAAATATAATCGCGAGTGTTTTTTCTCTGAGAATCTTCCCAGCACGCGCATCGCGTGTGTAATGTATGAAACCTTCACATTATTTTAATTATTGCATAGACACGTTTTTCAACGCGATATTTGCAACGCGTTGACCGTGATACCGCGTTATCTCTTATGCGCGATATTACCCGCAGCTTCACGTGCTCGTGGGAATCAGATGATCTCACTGACGTTGGCGAAGAAATGTAAATATTCCCAGTTATTGATGTAATCACATCAATTGTGCGGCATATGTATTTATTTTAAAAAATGTGTACAAATTACATATATTTTTAATGTATATATTTATTTTAAAAAAAATCGACCTGTACGTATGTACTTAAAATATAAAAATATATTCGACTTGAAACTGAAAGAGAATAGCAGCGGATGAATTAAGAAATTTTACATCTTTTGGATACTTACGATGTTGTTCGCCACAATCGCCGGCTTCGCGCGGATCTGCAGGCCATCGTCGTCGCCGAGCTGCTCGCTGATTTGTTCGCGACTGCTGGCAGGGCCCATTTCATCAGCGCCAAGGCGCTTCCTGGACAACGTACGAGGGCTCCCGACTTCCCTCTTCGACGCTTGGTCGAAACCGAGGCGCCGGTGGCACTTAACCGATCGACCGATTCGTCGGACGATCGACGCAGCAACCCCCCGGGATTCGCGCAGCCTTTTCTGTGACAATTTACGATGCCCCCATCGGCGCCGGCCTGGCAGGAATTCCGCGAATATCGGCCTCCTCGGCCACGTCTACGTCCATTTGTCTCACGAGAGTGAACGAGGGCTATGCCGATTTCTTTTATTTTTTCTATTTTCTTGTATACAAAATTTTCTCGTTGGTTGCGTCTAGGCGATTTTATGTCATTGAATGACGATTTGTTTCTCTTCAATTGCACTTTCGAATTGACGAGTCCGAGAGGATAATCGATCGTACAAATCGCGGAATTGGTTTCTTTTTTTCAAGTCTTTTTCTACACGCAAATCCTATCGTTATTGTGCACCGTGGCGAATTTCAGGGTTTGACTTTAGCTCACAAAAGAGAGTTTCGAGCAATCTCGCTCTTCTTCTTTTAGTGTTATTGCGAGAATAATAATTCGGAATGAAATACGTCGGCGGCCTCTTTTGGTCGCTATTCACTCAAGCGACATAGGAAGTATCTGGGGCAGCAGCGAATTAATTCGACCCAATATCACGGCAACTCCGCGCTGACTCGGACGACAGTGTGAAACATATGACCACTGGTCGTCTCTCTTGCCGACGAATCTTCTTCTTGACTTCACTCCCTCTCTTGGAACCGGTTCTTCAACGGCAACGAAAGAACAATCCTTCGTGTTCGTAACCTCGTTCTCTCGCCTCGACCCTCTTCGTGATTTCCTCGTATTCTCGAGAATCGTTCGGGGTTTATATCACGTCGCGACACTGCCGGCGCGCGAATATTTCACGAGGAACTTTTTATCTTTATCTTGGGTCACTGGGTTTACCGGTGTCTGCCCTCGCGGATGTCCCACGGCGATCGATCGCGCCCGTTTCTCCTATCGCTACCACCAAAGAGGCGTTGGTACCAACGTCCCGACGACGCTTCACTGACCACGACGACGACGACGACGACGACGACGACGACGTTGTATACACCCACCGATTCCCGGCTGTGAACTGCAGCGCGAGGCTCTCACGAGCGGATAGGAAGAGAGTGGGTGTTCGATCGCGCGCGCGAGGGTGGAAAGGAAACCCGTCGTTGGATAAAGGAAAGATCGGCAACGCCGATTTTCTCGGGAAGAAGAAGAAGAGGGTAATGAAGAAACGACGGAGAGATCCTCCTCGACGGGGAGAGAAGAGTTCGCCAGGCTCTACCCCGCCGCGGGTGGGTAGAGCGCCGCGGCGCCCCCGGGATCAATAAAACGACCGCCCGGCCGTCGCCTGTCCTAGGTCCTGCCTGCCTGGCCTCTGCCCGACGTGATCTCCTGTTTCGCTCGCCTGCTTGCTCGCGAGACGCCGCCGGACGCTTCGTCGACGCAAGCGACGCCGCGGCGCCGCATCGCGTCGCGTCGCGCTCCGGCGCGAATAACGTACCGCGCTCGCTCGCGTGCAAACTCGCGCCGCAGGTCGATATTTCGACCGCGGACGGTCAGGAACGTCCGCGGGAAAATCCCGGACGGAAGTTTCCCTTTTGAGAAAATTCGGTGATGAGCGTTAAAAAAGGTGCGACGTTTGAAGAACGTTGTTTGTAAAATAGCGGCAAGGAGGATGATGTAATTTATATTAAAAGATTTGATGAAGAGGAAGATAATAAAATTGATGAAAATTAAGTCAAGGCGAATAAGAAAGACGAGCAACTACGTACATCCCTGTGGAAATTGCTTGCCGCATAATGACATACATTGCAAGGAAATTAAGAATATTGTTTTTTACAGAAAACCGTACATTAAAATAATCATACGCGCAATATATATGTCTTTTAATAAAAATGCAGCATTTTAATTTCTCAACTTTTCTCATGTTTGCAGTGAGCACCTACTTTGCTTTTTATCATGTTATCATATATTAAAAATTTTATTATTAAAATTATTATTAAAGTTTTGTATATTTTATTTTTTGTTTTATAAACATGTGTATGTGTGTGTGTGTGTGATAATATAATATTTTAAGATTCTTGCTGTAATACTTTACAAAAATGTTCTCAATTTTCTTTATGTAGATATATACGTAAAATATTCAAATTAGAATAATTGTAACGGAATTACCGTACGATATCATCAAACATCTATGAGAGCGCACATAAAGTTTTATTTGGAACGGTCGGTCATTATCTCGGTATATACCTGGTCAGTACACCTGGTCAGTACAACTGAGTCAGTACAACTGTGTCTTATTTTCTTTTGTCCACAGCAAGTATAACAAAAAAAAGTGTAACTAAATTAATAAAATTGTTTTGCAATTACTATCGAGCTAAATAAAATTGTGTTTTGCATTTCATAAAAAATTCAATTATTCTCAATTAAGCAAATCGTAATTTACTTCGTTAACAATCAACTTATTCCATTGTTGTAATTAAGTTTTCCACCATTGTGAGATGATTATTATTTAAATAGAGCTCGCGTAATATGTTGCTGTTACACAATAGTACATCCCGCACAATCGCTTTCATTTCGTTCTTTGCAGGTCGATATTGCCGGCAACCCCCGTGGTAGACACGAACATATGTTCAAGGATAGAGTATTCTGTATAGTCTGGCAATAGTCTATTATTGGCCGTAATGATAGTCGAGGAAACGTGTCTAAAAGTGTAGTAGGCCGTAATACGAGTCCTCTTAATGCACAAGTACACAAATATCTTTTTTATACGTTTATAACGAAAATTAAATAATAATAGATATTAATGCCGCAATTTCAGATGCTGAAATAATTAATGTTAAAATTGTTTTGCGTGGGAAAAACTTTCGTAGTATAAAAAGCACGTATATATATATTACACTCTATATTTCTAGACAATTGTTTTTAATTCAAAAAGACTATACATTCGGATTTATGTCACTTTAAATTTTTTTTACTATCCTGTAAGTGTCTGAGGACTTGTTTAGCTGCGTTGCTTATGTCGCCGCTCGTCGAAGACACCATGGTCTCGATTTTTTCGATCGGTATTGCCGCTGACAAGTCACGGATGTACCTCGGCTCCGTGAGATCGTAAGTGACGGACTGCAAAACGCGAAGGCAGAGCAGCTGCATCAGCTCCGATGACGATTCATGCTCCAAACAATGACTTAACGTGTCTCCTACTCGGGATTCGAAAAGATATCGCAAGCCGGTTTTGTTTATACTCACGTTGTACATGATCATTAACATTAATCTGCAATGTAACGACGTGTGACATTTGTCAACAGAATATACGCTTCTTTCGTCGATAAAAAAAAAACAACGGTATGGAAATTGGGAAAACTTCGAGATGCAAAGTTGTGAAAAATAACTTTCAGCATATAATATCATGACAGACGTGATTGATTATATAAAACGTATGTCCACCTTTTTAGCGATAAAGATCCGGGAGCTGGCGGCAATTCGGGCGTTAATTTAATTATCTTTTGCACGAATTCCGTGCCATTTCGATTTGTTATTAAGAATTCACGACTCTCTGGATTCGCGGTTATGTTAGTGGCGATACCGAGAAGTCCTTTTACAAATTGATATTCGACGTTGCTCGTTGGCGGAAATCCAAATTTGTAAATACTAACGAAAGCGCTGAACGTACCGTTCACTATTGCTAAAAATTCTCCGATTTCGCTCTGACACTATAAAACATGATGGAAAATTAAATCTTTTATATAATAATTTTTAATATCATAAATTATTATTATTTGAGAAAAGAAATTTAATTAAAAAAACAAGCTCTTGAGAATGTAAGGATCAATTTTAAAGGCGAATAAGAGCCAATATACAGGGTGTTGTGGTATTAAAAAATTCTGTGTTTATTGCGTGACCATATGTTTTGATCCGTCGTAGGGATCTTCTCCAGTGGTTAACTTTTCCCTGTAATCAGTTAACCACTGAAGAAGATCCCAACGACGAATCGAAACGTATAGCTACACGAATAAACACAGAAGTTTTTAATACCACAACATCCGGTATATTGGCTCTTATTTGCCATTAAAATGGAGAAAAGAAATTTTTGCAACATGTAAAAGCCAAGTTATATATATATATATATATATATATATTTTTTTTTTTTTAAATATTTCTATGTAATTTTTTTCTGTGTATTTACATTTGTATATATTTTGAACTTAAAAAGAGAAATTTCATATCCCAACTCTATTATTTAGTTTCTTCGATACATACTCACGTTCGATATCCAAGTATCGACTATTTGCGGAAATTTAGAAGCACGCCATGTCAAGTTACCTAATACTGCACCGAGGCTTGTGCAATAAGTACTTTGACTTAATATCTGGATGACAGTAAAAAAAAAAACGAAGTAATGAATGAAGCTTTCAAAAAACATGTTTTTAAAGTGAATAAACGGATAAAAATTTATGAAAAATTCGATATCTTCAAAACTTTATGAAGTAAATAATATAAATATATCGATTTATTTTTTAATATAAGGTATGTTATGTGTAAAAATATATTGTTACACTTTAAAGTATATTATGAAAATATACTTTATACATATGTATAAAGAGTATAAGAGTTACTTGATCTTTTAATTGTTCAATCTCTTCGAATGCATTTTCTTTCTCTTTTGTTAGATGTTCAACTTCAGCACTCAATTTCTCGCATTTTGCTTTCAATAGTATCATTTCTTCTGCATTATCTATATAATTTTTATAACAGTCAAAAATATGTACACTAAATATTTACACGTGATCAGTTATGTCACAATATTTTGTGTTCAATAGCTAAATTAACCTGCTGTTTTTTAATTGTGTTTTATATCACTGATAGAAGAATTAAACCCAAATATTTTTTTTGTAGAAAAACATTGCAACCTTTTGACGTACTAACTGACGACGTTGAAAAATTATTGCAAAATATATGCGTGTTTTCTCCGTTCGTCTCCTCGCGACATTCAGGGTTGAGTTTGTTAGTCGTAAAAATTTGTGGAATTTCATTTATGAATTCATTAAAATTACAGTTGGTGGGACTCAAAATGATCTCCAAGGAATTCTGAAAATTGTAAGATGCGAGCTGAAAATTACGAGAAAATTTAATAAGTCATGAAATAAAAGTTGTGAACGATAAACATTTATAACGTACATACGAAGAGCTCATGTTCGCTTTCGGAATCGATTTTGTTCATGTGTGTCTTCGTTTTTTCGCGTTCATCAAAGAAAACCGGGCGAGACTAGCAAATGCGATATAACAAAGCTTTTCTAAATTATTCGTAAAAATCTGTAAGAAAACAACACAGACGCATTTGTAACGTCTCGACTTCAATTTTTGAAGTCTTCGCACATAAGTAACCTGTAAAAAAATTAGGTTTTGTACATATTTATATTTATCGATTTATGCATGTATAATGTGTTGCAAACAAAAATAGTACAGATATGATAAAAATCTTTTTATTGAATTATTATTATTGTGTATATGTTATATATAAGAGGAACATTGCGTAGATTTAGATTACAAGAATTTATAAGAGAAAGAACAATAGAAAACGTTTTAATTTCATCTTTGAGAGAGAATAAATTTTGTTCTCATTCAATAGACAATAGAAAAATTTCTAAAACTCCGTGCAAATGACGCCAAGTTATCGGCAAAGGTTTCGCCGTAGCACGATTTCCGTTCGTTACATAGCGATAAGATAAGCCGCTGCCGGATGCACCGTGTAACGCACGCGAATATTTCGAATCGCAAAATACGAATGCACTCGGGCGTCATAACGGTAATTTTGCACGTCGATTATCCGCGTGGTTTGCGCAGGACGCGTTTCGGAACGCGCGCTGCGCGTCACGCTACATTCGCGTTTATACACAAACGCCATAGTACGATGTGCCAGTTCGGTATCAAGTATAACCTTCCGACTTGTGGAAGTTTTATTATTTTTCCAGAATCGCGGATATCTCCGTGGTGAGAAGCCGAGCGAACGGATTCTCGCGCGATTGCACGTAAGTTCTCTGGTGATGAATATTAATTACGAAAGCGACGCGCTCACACTTACGTAAATTAATCACCGATCGCGTCTCTTGGAAAAAGCGCGGGATGACGCTTCGACGCGATTCGTCTCCGATAGTTTACATTCCTCTGGACCGATTACGAAACCTACGCACTTGCCCACACTTTTTAACTGTGTTAATTTTTCCGCTTCATTGGTTGTAATTGGTCACCGAGATTCTTGTTCGTTCACAGCGTGTCTGAATATTTTAAAACCGCAAGTGCATTAAATGTGAGCTAAATAAACGAGCGTGGTTGATCCTGATAATTATATTCTGCAAAGAGAAATTTTCGTGATGTGAATATTAAAATAAGTTATATAAATATAGCGCCCTGATTATATGTGTGTTCGTGAGTGTGTAAACATATGAGAATAATTTGAAGTATAAAAATAACTTTTTTTTTATCAATTTATGTCTATGGTCTAAATATTTTAAAACCGCAAGTGCATTAAATGTGAGCTAAATAAACGAGCGTGGTTGATCCTGATAATTATATTCTGCAAAGAGAAATTTTCGTGATNTGAATATTAAAATAAGTTATATAAATATAGCGCCCTGATTATATGTGTGTTCGTGAGTGTGTAAACATATGAGAATAATTTGAAGTATAAAAATAACTTTTTTTTTATCAATTTGTGGAATATTATGTTTCCTACAGGTCTCACGATGAAGTTCACCGAGGGTGAAGAAGTTCTTGCCAAGCATCCAAAGAACTCGGAATATTATAAGGCGAGAATTCTTGATGTAACAGGTGACCGATACAAGATAAAATTCATGGCAGGTGGTGAACATGTGGTTAAAGAGACCGATATGAAGGTAATTCTAAAATTGAATCTTTTTATTAATTAAAAATTACTACTGCATTCTTATTTAAAAAGATTCTACATATATATAATAGAGTAATATATTAATATTCTTTTTTTTATTTTATTTATCTAGTATGAGGAGAGATCAACTGGCAGATCAAGGAGGACGACAAAAAGTCCTACAAGATATTCTCCAAGCAGACAATCCGAGCGTAGACGATCTCCAGGTAGACCTCGTAAACGCTCGCCAGGTAGATCGGTAGATAGCTCACCTAGTAGACGATCTAGCAGATTAGTTAAACTGCCCATTCGTAATACGCGTTTGCCAACGGTAACTGTCTCTCGCATAGATGCCGAAACTGGTAAGCATACGTTTGCAATTTGCTGCTTGTCATACATGTCTTTGCGTTTAAGCGTGTAAATATACACATTTGTTTTTATTAACGAATAGGAAAGCAGAGTAATCACAAAGAAAAAAGTGATACAGAAGCACAGGACGAGTCTCCATCAGAAACCATGCCTCTATCGTTGCGTTTGCGGACACTCGGTATGACTCGTAGATCGATACGACAGTCCAGCGTGAAGACTGAAGAATATAAGTCAAATATAATGAGAAATATGGACAGAGCAGTTTCGCTTCCATTGGAACGAAAAATTATTGATTACCTTCCAGAAGAAAGAGTACGAGGATATTCGATGCAAAAAGATCAAGTAAGTCTTTCAAATATATATGTCATTGATTGTATTATTTTTTGTGTTCTAATTTGTTCATACTTTATAATGATGACAAGCTTGACAAAAGGTGTTAATAATAACTTCAGGATCTGAAACCGCTTGTATCGCAAGACAGCGAGAAGTGGGAAAAAACGGTGAAACGCGAGAAGGAGATTATTAGAGTCGATAAACCGCAGGAATGGGGTGGATGGATCGGAACATCTCTTCTTATTTTATTATTACCGTTGTCCATAATATGCCCGCAACTTTTGTGCTCAAAGCAGCAATGCAAATCTGCTTACGTGGAACTGCCAAAAGATTTGGAATCTTATATAAATTTAAGAGCATTATTATCTTACGTCGTATTTCTAATATTATTAGCTTTTGTATCGATTATACCAATTGGAAAAATTGTGGACGGACAACAGAGCAAACTAGGAATATTGCAATATCGCGTGAATGGTATGTATGGCTCGAAATCTATAAATTACTTCAATTGTATCTTTAGATTTCTCTAATTTTAATAATATTTTTCTTCTTCAGGTTTATTAAGCGCTGTGTTAGCTATAATAGGCTTTAGTTTACTTTTGGACAAAGATGTCCCGGTTGCTGATTATATTCTAAACAATATCGTGCAGTTATCAATTAGTGGCTGGCTCGTGGGGATGATTTTGGCATTGGCATTGTACATCAAAGCGGGAAGAGCTCCGGTGGCTACTCTAAATATACACGCGTCAACCAAAAGCAGAATATACAATTTCTGGCAGGGTAGGGAAATCAGTCCACGAATTGGCTCTTTAGACATTAAGCTGCTGTTAATACGAGCTTCTCTCATTGGCACGGTAATTACCAATTTTTTTGTAAACAAATGGATTCATATAACAATTGTTACATAATTACACATTTTTTTAATGTGCAGTTGATTCTGAACATGGCTGTTGGAGTTAAAGCCATTGGAAATATAAAAACTCTAACTATCGGGCAGTTGGATAGTGCCGCGTTGTTAGTCACTGCCTTGCAGCTGTTTTATATTATGGACGGATTAATATTTGAAAGCGCTATCTTTACGTCTTTTGCAATAATGTATGAAGGAACTGGATATTTGACATGCGTCAGTCATTTGTTGTATCCATTCTTGACGACTCTCACAACAAGATTTTTTTTGTATCAAAAGTAAGCAATATCTAAGATACATATACATAAAGATTTAATATGTAATGAGACATTTTAATGACTGTTTTACGTGCTTTCAGGGCAAAACTTAATTACTTCGTTGGCATATTTATTGTCATCTTTGTAATAGGCTACGTTCTATACAGAGCTAGTAATTCGCAGAAAAACGCATTTCGTAAGAATCCTCTTTCGCCAACATTACCTTGTTAGTATAAAATCCATTATTGTCTTCTTTTTTCTTTCTTTTCTTTTTTATTGCGACCAAAGTAATATTTTTTTGGAATTGACGCAGTAATAGAAACTATTCCAACGTTGCGTGGAAAAAAGCTGATGGTGTCCGGTTTGTGGGGTTACGTGAGGCATCCAAATTATTTGGGCGACATCGTGATGCAATGGTCCGTGGCGAGCATCAGTTTGCCGATCGTTGACGTTCTGCCGTATTACGCGGCAATCTGTTGCGTGTTCGTGCTGACTTACAGAGCCGTGAGGGATAACAGACGCTGTCAAGAACGATACGGATACGCGTGGGAGCAGTACACTTCGCGCGTGAAATACATGATCTTGAAACCAGTGTTTTGAGACACAATAACAGAAAACAGGCTATTTTATTTTTAGTAAAACTATTTTAAGTATCATTTATGTAAGATGTCCGGTAATAATCGTACCCCACCTTTTGTTAGCAGTCCTTTATTAACCTTTGCCCGAAAAGTCCTTTATTATTTTTGCGAATTTTGTAATAATTAGTGAGTTATTGATTTTTAAAGATCCGCGAGTGAGCGTGAAAAAAAACGTGACAACACAATGAGAGAAGTTCGATTTTTTATCTGAATAAATTATTTTATCTGAATAAATTATTTAAAATAATTAAGTCGGACCAAAGAGCCGGTAATTTTCAACAGTCGGTGGTTTTTGTTTCAAAATTGATTTATTTTGATTTTTATCAACAATAAATTGTTTATTTAATGGTTTAGGTTGCAGTCAAAATTATTACTACTAATCATTGCTGTTTATAGAGCTTCCCGCGCGTCTAACAATCATGAGTGCGTAAAACTAGCTCTTCACTAAGATGCTCGTGAATCTTAATAAATTAATAACTCATTAATTATTGCAAAATGGTAAAGGACTCAGTATAATTCACTCTGTCTGCTACGAGAAGTGAGTATGGTTATCATGGAGCACCTTGTATATTTTATATATATATATATACATACATATATACATAGAAAAATTTAAAAAAGCAAAAAATACTCCAAATGTAATATGCTCATTACATTTTGTAAGATCTCTCTAATCGTACGTTTCTTTTAGTAGAATAGAATAGTTTTATACAAACGTCATGTATTCTTATTGCAATAATAATGAATTTATTATTAGTATTATAAGAGAGAGAGAGAGAGAGAGAGACAAGTACAGAAATGTGTAAAGATTTGTGAACATATTTTGTAACTGATATTAGGGAAATTTGCATTATTAAAAATTTACACTTGTAAATCGTATCTTATAGATGATAGCGGAAAAGCGGGACAAATTATTTGATAGGAAAAAAGAAATGCAATTTTTGTATTTGTGACGTACAGCGACCGCTTACAAGCCGAATAATTTTAAGCGCTCGCAATTCAATGGATTTATCTCCCCTTCACATGAAATATTATTAAATATATTTAATAATATATATTGTAGAGAGAGTACATATGATGAAAGGAGAGAGAAGAATGTTTATATCGTAAGTATGGATACGTAATATTTAAGTGCCTGTGAACATTGAATTCACATTACGATCCGAAAATACAAGTAAGACGTAAGAATTTTTATGATTTTTTATATCAAACATATATAGATGTATTATAAGAAGAAAAATGTACAAGTTTATTTTAAAAGAAAAACCATGATTTTATTAAACATTTTAGATAATAAACAAGATAATTTTTTAAACAAACCATACATTATTCTCTATTTCTTTTTTCTATTCTGTATATTAGGTAATCTAGGGTAAAGGCAATATGAGATTGCTGCACAGTTTTGTAATGAATTATGTTTATTTAAAGTAAAAAAAGTGATTGAACGAGAGCTGAGCAAAGAGCTCGAAAAAGAATTAAAAAATCTGAATAACGCTAAAACAGAGTGTTATTTTGACACGCGTGTGTATGTTTGTGTGTGTGTGTGTGTGTGGATGACCCTCAAGTTTATCTATTTCTATACTTGTACGTGTATATATACATTTATTTTTATTAAATTTTTCGTATATGTACATACACATCTAATTGCTATAAAAACAATCTCGTAAAGTGTTTGGTTAAAAATACATTTTTTTCGATATTTTTTCACCTGCGATATAATCCTTCGAAATAAAATACGAACGTTCTTACATTTGTAAATCAAACTATGGAGCCAATCGTTAATAAGACGGTTTACGCTTTTTTCTAAAACCAAATGCTATCTTTTCTAAAAAAAATTTTTTTTCATTTTTCAAAATTACATATACAAGAATCTTAAAACAATAGAAGCAAATTTCTGCCATGTACATGAGCAAATCTATTTGCAATAGACGTGCGAGTAAGATCGTTTTCGGATATTACACGTATCTATGTATACGATATCTTTATAGCCATATTTATTTACTTTTTTTTATTGTATTTAGAAATCGTCATCAAGCTTACCGCCTATATGCGACGTTTCTCTCTTATTGCACTGTTTTTAAGAAAAATATTTTTTGAATTTTATACACAGTTTGTCCGGAAAGTTCCCGGACTACGTGAATTAAAAATCGAAAATGAAAGATATGGTTTATTAAACAAGTTTACACTTCAAGG